TGAGACCCACTCTATGGGAAGGAATATAAGTCTGGAACTGTTAACCTCATCTGTTCATAACTAAGCTCTGTGGCACTCTGACTAGCCTATTGGTTTTACTCTCTGGTGTCTCCTTTGTAAATCAAGACTCACTAGATCTAAAATTTTCTGTCTTAGATCAACCTCTGTTCTTGTCAGTTTTCTCTGTAGAGTGCCTTCCTCATGTCTGTTGCTCAGTCAATACCTCATGAGGAGTCCTAAAGCCCTTAAAGCTCATTATCTATCTTTTGTTGTTTATTTTAATTGAATTTTTGTGTATTTCATACAAAACATCTTAATCATTATACCCCCCATTCGTACCCTCCCATAGGATTTTATGCATTCTCTCAAGTTAGTGTACCCAGATGTCCCTCAGTGAAAGTTCATCCACTGGGGTCTCATCAGCCTATCTAGAGTCACTCCCTTAAAGAAGATCAGCTCTCCCTCACCCAGTAGTAATCAGCTGCCAATAGTTCTTCAGCTAAGATTGAGGCCTGGTGCCCATTTCTATGCTAGGTTTTGTCTGCTTGAGTTTGCATGGGTCTTATGCATGCTGACACCATTGCTGTAGGTTCATATGAGCAAGGTCATAGGAGACTGTAAGACCCTGTGTCTTTCAGCTCTCATAAATGAAGTTCCCTCATACAACAGAGGGCAATGAACACAAAAGATCACAATGGCCAAAGTGCAGAGAATAAGAGACTGCAGAGTATGGGTCCTTAGAAAGGATTCCTATATTAAACTTCACCCACTCAGGCCTCAGGGATCATTGTGGAAGAGGGGGCAGAAAGATTATAAAAGCCAGGAGAGGAGGTGCATGATCATTACCTATCTTAAATTTTTATTTTATTTCATTTTTAATATATATTTTTAATTAAAATTTTATGCATTTCACACCATATATCTTAATCATTTTAGATCCTCTCCCCTATCTGCACTCTTACACATTGCCTTCCCATTGGATTTCATGCATTCTGTCACATATGTTAAGGCCTTTTGAGTCAAGTTTGTGTCCCCAGATCTTCCTCGATGTGAGTTCATCCACTGGTCAGTCTATCTAGCATCACTCCCTTAAAGAAGACCAACTCTCCCTCACCTAGCAGTGATCAGCTGTCAATAGTTCCTCAGCTAAGGCTGGGGCTTCTTAACCATTTCTCCACTTCTACGCTGGTTTTTTTCTGGTTTGAGTTTGCATGGGTCTTGTGCATGCTGTCACAGTAGCTGCTCATTACATATTTGATAAACAAAGTAACACTTGATAATATGACAAATGCCAGCAGCAGCAACAGGGACAGACTCAACTCCACACTGTCATCCTCAGCAGTCCGGGAAATGCCTTCAGATTTTTAGGAATGTTGACTCAGATAAAACTGTATCTGTGTCTTTTACACAGAAAAGAACTTCAGGTCCAGATAGTATGAAATACAGTTGAGATTTATTACAAATAGAAAGCAAGGTGCTCATTGAAAGAGTGAAGCACACCCAAGACCATTGTTATTGTCTTCTCAAAGAAGAGTTGCATTTTATTAAAAGGCTGTTTTAACATAGATTTTAAGCATGATGGATAGGAGAAAGAGAGATGCTCAAAGAGAGAAATAAGACATGCCTGAGTATAGGTATGGCTTTCTCAAGAGAGATGTGTAATTAAGTGTCTTAGCATTAGCCATATGTACTATTTTGGTGACTCTCAAGTTACATCTCAAAGAGTTGCTAAGAAACTTTTTATTCCCTCCCCACTCTCTTTGATAAGTGAAATTACAGGGTGGCTCTGGAGAAGCCTTGAGTAGGGTTATAATCTGGTAAAGTAAGACCTGGAGCCACGAGAGTTGCACAAGGGGTTTAGGATATGTCATTTACTGTAAATACGGTTTCTGGTGAGATATTAAAAAAAATGCAGGTTTATAGCTGTGATGGGAGAAACACTGTGAGAAGGTGCTAGTTGCACTAGAATTCTTGATTCTTAGTAAGATGCTTCAACCAAACTTTAGAGTGAGGGGGGGCTCCTTTTCTTACCATGTTCCCAAAATTTTACCTTTCTTTATTGTCTTACAAAGAAGTTCATTTAGTTTATAGTGCATCCTCCCCCAAACATGCCACTGTGTTACCCTCTGAGAATTTGCCTAAGTTCTTTTTAAAAGCAATTTACCTGAGTGAGATAGTTTTACTTTTTTTTGCCTTTTTGAGACAGGGTCTCTCTGTAGCCCCAGCTGACCTGGAACTTGCTCTGTAGATCAGGCTTGCCTGGATCTCACAGACATCCACCTGCCTATGCCTCCCGAGTATGAGATACTTTTAAACAGAAGTTTATTAGCAAAACAAAGTAAAGCTAAATAAAAATAAAGCAAAGCAAGCATGTGCACAAAAGAGGAAGAGGAGGAGGAGGAGAAGGAGGATAGCTTCACAGTGGGTTTTCTGTTGTGGATTTTCAGAGTTTTTATGAATATTTATGTTAAATGTATGGCATATTCATGAAATAAGTAAGCTCTTTCACCCCACTCAAATCATGGTGGACAAGATTTCCCTTTTATGTTATTTCTTCCTATGATCCTGTAGAAAAGCCAAAATGGGGGTTAAAACCTGCAATGCAAATGATATTATAATGAAGCCAGTCCTTATGAGGACAAAGACCCTTTGTTGTTGCATGTGTGTAGTAACTAGATTAGTGCACTAGTTCCTTCTAATATTGTGAGAAGAACCTACTGCACCTTCAAGGATGTTTAACCACAAGGTGTATGGTGACCACAGGGTACATAGCTACCAAGGTATAGTTGTGATTTCCTTGGTTGACTTATAATATTTAATTCATTCTCTATCCTGTATCAACTATTTTCAGAATTTTTGGTGAAAAATATAATTGCATGGTCTTATAAGTTCAAGCTGTAAGAGTTATAGCTGTTCCTTTAATCAAGGAGCTGACAGCTCTGACTTGTACCATCCTGTACTCTCTGTCCTTTTCTAGGAAAGGTTGGAGAAGGAGCAGAGGTCATAGACAGAACCACGGAATCAGGTATCTCACTGTGAGAAAAACATGAATGTAGCACTGGAGTGTCAATTACTGCACAGATGGAACCAGGAAGGCTTCACAGCAGGAGATTCAGTTCAGTCCATATACCTGTCACTTGAAAAGTTTTGCTTTAAGTTCATTAGTGAAGTAAAACCTTCCCCCATTTCTTTGTTATGAGAGATCAAACTAGCCAGCACCCATAAACAGGTATTTACCCATGGTTCTGGCATGGTTAAAGGAAACTCAATGTGGTCATTTTTGCATTCTGTCTTAGGTCAAACCCTGTTTAACTGTTGCTCCCTATCAGGCATGCTTTAGGTATGTAGAGCCTCATGTATGTTAGCAACAGAAAGCTAGAGGTTTATCTCTAGACTATAAAAGTATACAGTGAGATAGAGAAATTAAGCAAAGAGATGATGGATTACAAATATATTATCTATAAAGATATACTGCATATTTATAAAAATATTTTGGAAAAATGAAGAAAAATTTGAGGTGATACTAAAATTATTATGTCATACTGTATTGTTTAATTGTGTGTACATAAAAGGAATAAGGGTATAATCATTTGTAGGGTGGCAAAGTATTCAAGAAAGGACATTAACTTGAGAGCCTTGAAGAAAGGAAATATTGAAATAGTTTGAGTAATTGTCCTGAAAAATTCAGTGAAAATCTGCTTAAAAATAACATTAAGAAAACAAAAACCTCTAGATAGGCTGACTAGATTCACCAGAAGGGCAAATAGTGGGGAATGGCTGGGGGGCCAACAACACAGTGGACAGTAGCAGGGATATCAGAGGACAAGGGCTCTAGTGGGGGGGGGGAGGCTATGAGGGGGGGCTATCTGGGAAGGGGGGGGAAAAATAA